TGGTCGAGGCTGCGGTGGCCGTGAGCATGCTACTGCACTCCAGCATGGGCAACAGAGTGAGACTTTGAGTCAAAAAAAAAAAAAATTCAGGCCGGGTATGGTGGCTCACGCCTATAATTCTAGCACTTTGGGAAGATGAGGTGAGAAGATTGCTTGAGCCCATGGGTTCGAGACCAGCCCAGGCAACTTGGCGAGATTTCATCTTTACCATAAATCAAAAAATTAGCCAGACGTGGTGGTGCATGCCTGTAGTTCCAGCTACTTGGAAGGCTGAGGCAGAAGAATCACCTGAGCTCAGCAGGTCAAGGCTGCGGTGGCCATGAGTGTGCCACTGCACTCCAGCCTGGGTGACAGAGTGAGACTCCAACTCAAAAAAAAAAAAAAAAAAAACAGAAAAAGAAATTCTACTGAGGATTCAAGCTCTCAACAATTCCTATAGATTCCCAAACTCCAAAACAAATTCCCTGCAGATTCTCGTCATGGAGCCTGGGGAGTCATTTATGATTTTGCTATGCCCTCCCCTTCCTATTCTCTGGCTTCCATGGAAGTTACTAAGTCAGTTCCAAAGAAAGGAGGTAGCATCAAGCTGTCCCAATGTGCACATGTCATGATGAAGCGGATGACCTGACCCTGTTCTGATACTGACACATTATCTAGGTTTTACTCTTTTATTCTGAGTTGGGATCTCACTCTCTGTCACCCAGGCTGGAGTACAGTGGCATGATCTCGGCTCACTACAGCCTCAACCTGCTGGCTCAGTGATTCTCCCATCTCAGCCTCCCGAATAGCTGGGATTATAGGCAGATGCCACCACGTCCGGTTAATTTTTAAATTTTTATTAATTATTATTAATAAATAATAATAATTTTTTTGAGTCCGGAGTCTCACTCTGTCGCCCAGACTGGAGTGCAGCAGCCACTCCCGGGCACCGCAGCCTCACCTGCTGGGCTCCGGCGATCCTTCTGCCTCAGCCTTCCGAGTAGCCGGAATTACAGGCATGCGCGACCACGCC